CACATAATCAAGACAACGCTAAAAGCTACACGATGAAACCTACCACCCTCTCCTGCCCCCTTCCATTTATAGTCCCCCCTAACATGCAGCTTCTTTGCCTTTGTCTGTGCGCTTCTGGCGTGCCATGTTTATCTTTCAACTAATTTTTTCATGTTGCCTGCGCTCGCATAGTAGTTAACTTTGTTGTGTCTGTGCAATGTGTGTGCGTGTGTGTGTGTGCGCCTGTTGATGTTTAATTTCTTTAGTGGAAGTAATGGCCGAGTTGCCAAGTTGCATGCTGCAAAAGTTTTGCTTGCTCTGTTAGGGCACCCAAAGCGACAGCCGCCCAAAAAAATATTCTCAAGAGCTGCTGCATTTGCTTTATAAAATGCGGCTGAAAGACTGGCTATCACTTCCAGAATCATTCACAAAGGGAAAGTCCAACAATCAAAGGAAGTAACTCACTTTAAAGTGTCTAATGTGGAAAGGCTACCTGTAAAAAAAATAATAGACTTAAATGCTCTTTTTTGTGGGAATCAGGCAAGTGCTTTTTATTAAAAATTCTTACAAGATCCACATCATTTAGTATTCTCAAGAATTTATTTGATTTCTTGTGCTTTTCACTAGTGTTTCATACCCATATTTTATTTATAAAATGTTATCATTATTGTTGTTGTTAAAATTTTTATAAATCTAATGGCTTGTTAATCAAACATAGTCTATATAAATTAAAGAGCACCCACTGTCGGACATAGCTGTTTAGTTGCTTGTGCAGCCTCTCTCTGCGCTTCTCATCAGCATCCGCTCTGTGGCAGTAAATGATTTGCGCTTAAGCGTATCCGTGCGGTTGTCTGGGCGCACTTGGTGCGATAACCGCAGCAGGTTGATGTTGTACTTGATTATCATCTGGCATTGGTTGCGGCGTCTGTGGCTGGCGCGGCCGCGACTGTTGAGTCAATGGCGGCATTTGGTGGCGCCATCTTTCGGCGCTGGCCTCGCGTTGTCTCATTCAGTATATCGATATCGTGTCTAATTAAAGCACAGCTCAAACCAATAAGCAGCTGAATCATGCTCTAAGGTTGCTTAACGTTAAGCACCACTGCTCATAAAATTGTAAGTGGGTTAATGTGGTTCGAGTTGCATACTTTGGCAAAGAAAAGAAACCGAAACTGAACAGTATATATATATCAAACACATTGGTTTCCTCAAGCCATAAATAACAGATGAGCACAGCATTCGAGATATGCCGCAGCACTGCATAAGCCAGTCGAGGCACATGAATGTTAAGATAATGTCACGCCGCCTTTGGACTTGGCCGATAAGATCAGCAGCTAGCTAGGCAAGCTGTTGACGTCGCGGCCAAACGGGGCACACCCCCGCCATATATCTATGACAAATGTAGCAGTCGAGTGGGGCCAGCGATAAGAAGATACTAATTAATAACTGGGGGCCCAGCGATTGGCGCTGCTGTCACATGGCTACCTGTACAGGCATTTGCCAAATTAAATGGCCAGTCAAATAGATTGGACATAGGGCCGCAGGCACATGCACAGCCACAGCCACAACAACAACAACAACATCCGCAACCAGTTGCACTTACAAGTTGTTTTCATTAATTATGAGCGCGGCGCCCAGATGCAGCTTCATTGGAAAAACGTGCAAAACGTTTTGGCTTTGGGCGGTTTAGCCAAGTGAATGATTCGTATCTCTGGCAACATGAGGCGCCACTAAACGGGCAAAGCTGTTGACGTTGCGGCTGCTGTTGTTGCATGCACCTAATCGACGGGCGCCATCATCAGCATCAACATCAACATCGTCATCATGATGATCGTGAACATGATCATGAGCGTGGGTCAAGGCAAGCGACCACAGCGTTCCTAGGGGCTGGCAAGGTGCTTGGCATTAACGCATTGCGTTCCACGTTCGACATTCTATTAAATTAGCTGCAAAGCCCTCTCCTTATTTGGTATCGTAATTTCGTATGCACGCCCACTTGGCCTAAACCTACGGCTGCTACTGTGCGGCCAAGTTTTGTTTGCAATTTGTTAATAGGTTGTGGCATGCAGCATGTAAATACCTGAATTGAACCATGGCAGTGGCTATGGGGGACAGAAGACAGGAGCAGCTGGCACAGCGACGCTTCCTCGCCGGCTCATTAGGCATGCAGCTTAGCTGGACGATTGGCAACCGGTCTGGTGCCGCTTGGCAACTTAATCCGTTTGAACGTGCATTTAATTTGGACATGGCTTTTGCCAAATTAGCCCTTTTGGCCAGTTATTTAAGGCATCGATTAGTCATAAAGAGAGCCCGTTTAAGCTATTGATTGCATACGGGGCTAGTCGCCGACTTGAGCTCATTCGCACGCTTCGGCCAAATGGACGACGGTTGTACTTGACTTCTGAACCAGCGCCCACAGAGCGTGACTGGACTGGTACCAAACCCAACGCCACGCTCAAAATTGGCTAACCAAAAACTAACAACAATAAGCATTGTGGTTGTTGCTCTCGTTGTTGCTGCTGTTGTTGTTGCTGCTGTTGTTGTTGTTGTTGTTGTTGGCGTTGCTTGTTCTGGTTACTTGTGCTTGTTTAGATAGGCAATCTCTTGAACGCCACTTGAAATAGAATTTTCCCACCATCTAAAAATAAAACTCAACATGCCATTGTCAACACACTCAACTCGACTAAGGCAACACTCTGCAGAATATTTCGGATTTATCTAATAAATAACTACATGTAAACTATGCTATCTCTGATTTCAGTTTCAGTAAAATTCAATCAATATAGGAAATAATTCCCTAAGCAAAGCATAAGCTAAAAACCAACAAAGTTTCTACTTGCATTGACCACACAATATACCCTGTACTTTCAGGCATGTGGTTTAATTATAGGAATGCATTAACTACAGTTTTCTTTGTCTAGTCTTATCTGTTTACATATATTTCTACTTATACTTCTGATTTATACAAAAAATTTTTTGCTGGTGGTCGGCACTTTTTTTCATGCTTCAAAAGCTGGGGACATGTGGGAGAATGGGCCGAGCACTTAACTGCAAATTATACAGCAGTCCGGCGGAGGGGCTGGGCCAACTATAATAATAAATGAAAATGTCTGTAATTCTCATGTGCGGACTGGCCGGCGAAAAAAAAAACCCACAAGATGAAAAAGATGAGGCAGCAATGCGAAATAAAAAACGAAACCGAACTTGAGCACTTGCTTATTATGCAGCCCATACCCAAGGAGGGAGAAGCGGCAGGCAGAAGTTGGCCCAATATTTCTCACAGCTGCGGGAGTCGGAAGCTAAGCCAAGCAAATAGACGGCGTGTAAACGAACTCTGCTCGGTACGGTCCGGAAAGGGGCGGGGCGAGATGTACCCATTGAAGGGGTCTAAGTGCAGCATGTTGACCCATTATTGGCTGAAGCAGCCATCAATAAAAAATGTTTCTGTTGAGAGTTCATATTTGGGTCTTAATAAACGGGTGCAGTTTGATAAATACACAACAAACAGCTGTTGGCAGTTGTTGCAGGCATCTATCATATTATGGGGCTTAACTAGGTGACATGGGAACATCCGCTGCGCAAATGAGGGGTGATTTACCTGGTCTCAGGTCGTGCAGCTCGACAGGCATTGGCATCGAGCAGCCCTCGCCATGCCACTCGCTGTGGGGTTCAATAAACTTGCCCGGCCGCAAAAGTTTTGTGCAGCAGACGCAAAAAACTGTGCTGAAAGCCCAAAGTGCTGCTGCCCCATCAAAAGGCAGGCAGCAATCGAAGAGTGCGGGGGGGGGGGGGGGGGGTTGTCGGGAGGAAAGGTAGCAGTCTGTCGCTGTGGGCCTGCGATACACTTCATTTTGACAGATTACATCTCATTATGTACACCTCGCGGTCAGATGCAGTGCAGCGGAGTCTCAGGCAGCAAAACGAGTTGTCTGCCTCGTACAGTTTGGCAGGCACTGCAACCGTTGCAAGATTGATGGCCAGATATTGGCTTTGCATAACAAATTTTTCCTTTTGGTCCAAGGCAGCGACGATGACGTCCAAGCGACTGCATTGACTTATGAGCACTTCAAATTAATTCTCAACTGAGGATCAGGCAGCACAGAAAAAGGAAAGAGCTCGCTAGTGCTCGACCAAGATGTGCTCTACTTCAACACATTCGTACCCACATATACATATAAGTATTTATATATAAAACTACTTTGATCGACAGTGATGGACTAGAAGCTACCCCGTACCCAAATATTAAATTCAATTGATTTAGTGGGACTTTAACAGGATCCAAAACTCTAAGAAATAACCCACTTTTACACCATTTGATAAAGCATTTACTAAGTATACAACATTTGTATATTTTCTCTTAACTCTCAACTCACATCGCGTATTCGTACAGGGTATACAAATAATTCGCCATGCAGCGGCCAGTGCGCAATAAAATGCGCAACTTTTTCATTGTTTATGGCAAGTTGAATTGAAGTTCATTTATAAGGCAATTTAAAAACAATTTACGTGTTGCTTGTGCCGTTAATTTATCAAGTAGTCGAGCCTCTAGTTTAAAATAATTCTCTCCCCAGCTAGGCAGAGAAGTGGGTGCAGGAGAAGCTGCCAACTGTTTTTTCAACACACTCATCATAGGCAATTAATTAAAAATTGAGCAGCAGCAGTCATCGTGGAGCAGTGGCATCCACTGGAGCCACTCCAAGTGCCGTGCGCCCGTGTTTGGGGAGGCGGGCTGGCATTATGATTTTTTCATTGATACAAATAGAGCAGTGACTCTCCCTCCCTCTCTGCCTCTGTCTCGCTCGCGCACACACTCGCGCATGGGGGAACAGTTTGTGTCTGTGCAACTTGTTGCCGCAGCCTGTTTCGAGTGGCATTATTTTTATTGCCTCCGCCTGGCTAATAAGCACAAATTTATCAGCTTCGTACGTGCGTGGGGCTTAGGTCCGAGGTGTTGAGTGTGCAGCACGCTGCCAGCTTGTAGATTGAGCCCCAACCCACCATGATCCAGAAGTCGTTGCCACAGCTCGAGTATACAAATTGTATTTAATATAAAATCCATAAATACGAACACTAAACGACTATATGACACATCAACTTTAGATATTAAAGACTAGACTACTTAAACGCTATAGACAAAACTGTTAAATTTCAACACGATTTGTGGCATCATCACAGCACAGTTCCGCCTGCTCCTGAGTTGGCGTATTTGGACTTTGAGCATTGTATTCCCTACGGTAATCGGTCAGAGGCAGTAGACCAGCGTCCAGAAGAGCGCATTGAATATGAGGAATGCGAGGGGAAAGACGAAGCGCATCTTGCGATCGATCCACAGCGACACCTCCTTGGGCGTCATTGTCGCAAATGTTTGCGCCGGCTTCTCGTTCGGCGTCTCAGTCAGCGTTGCTGTGGAGCCGGAACTTATGCTGGTATCAGTCTCCTCCAAGCTTATCGCTGAGTTCTCTCTGCTCAGGCCATCGCCTATGATGATGGGCGTCTCGATGGTGATGACTGTGTTCTTTGGATTGCTCCCACATACCTTGTTGCAGCTGCTCATTGTGCTTGTGCTGCGATTGAAGCTGCGCGGATTGCGCTTCAGTTTGGGCACAAAGGTGGAACGCACAATGTATTTCGTGGTGCGCTTCTTTAGCTCCAGATTGTTGTTTCTTCGCCAAATGGTATTCACGAAAGCGAACTCCATGAGGCTGCCAAAGATGAAGACGGTGCAGACAAGGAACCACACCTCCGACATGGTTACATAGCTGACCTTCGACAGGCTGTTCTCCTGCGACAGCGAGAGCGTGATGAACGAGAGCAAAGTAGAGCAGCCGAGCATGGAGCGTGCCGGAGTTTGATCTGCCTGCAGCCAGAAGGATACCCACGAGATGGCCACTATCATCATGGAGGGCACAAAATAGTCTATAACATAGTAGCCAACCTCACGGCTGAGCAGTACACTAAAGCTCAGCGCACTGTAGTTACCTATCAGAGCGCCATGTGACATGGTATAGGTGTCTGATATGGTGATGGACTCATTGGTCACCCAGCCGTACAGATCGTATTCTGTCAGCTGTAGCTGAGAGTGAAAGCTCACAGGATTTGTGGGCTCCCAGTGCAGCTGCAGCATCGAAGTGTTGTACATCCAGCTCTCCAGTGTTGTGGTGCATTTCTGGTCGTCGAACGGAAACTTTTGGAAGTTCATCCAGCAGTACAACGTAGCCTGTATGCGCGTCGAGAGGAGCACCGTGCCATCTGGATAGATAGTGGTCAGCTGATCCTTTTCGTTGGTGCCCAGCACATTGGAGCTCTGCTCATTCGCCAGAAATACGTGCGGTACCCAAAGCATATTCCTCAGCCTACCATCACCCACAATGGGCTGCTCGCGGTTTGGCGCATAGTTGGCAAAGGCCAGGCGGGAATCGTTGTAGCGCATCTGCAGCAATCCCTGCAGCATGAACTGCAAGTCGTTCGAGTCTAGATCCTTTAGCGCATAGATATAAAAACGCGCGTTTACAGAAAGTGGCACAATATCGCCGGTAGCATTGACTGTAATGGGCGGCTCCAGGCGATCATATCGGCAGTTGCTTGTGAGGCGGGTGACCAGCTCCGTTTGGCTTAAGGAATCCGCGTTCAACAGTGAGGGGCAGCTGCTGTCGGTCAGATTGAGCGTGACGTTAAAGTTGGGGCTGGCATCAACGGTGCTATATGAACCATTGCCGACTGTGGAAGAGTAATTTGAGATAAGAAATTTTATATGAATTAGAGAGATTCAATCTATTACAGAACTGATTTCATCGCGGCAGGTATTTCAGGAACATATTTGGAGGCTATTGAAATATATCTTTGGTTATTGCTTGTAAAAGCATATTTTTAAGTTAAACTTTTAATTTCCATTGGGTTCATGTAATTTGCTTAAATTAGTCATTGTGTGGCAGTTAGATAAGAAGAATTTAGGGCGTGCAACTTGTCGTAAAACATTTCGTTTTTATATACACATTTATACACATCAGGCATCTGCCTTGACTGATTTACAAAACCAGAAGAAAGAGTAAAATAATTTAATCACATTTTCCACTCCAGTATTTATTGCATCACAATTGGGAATTTTAACTCTTCGTTTAGTTGAGACTTTAAATTTTTACCGAGTTTGATGAATAATACAAAAATATTTATTTTGCCCGTTCCGTATAAAAACTTTGTTGCTTAATTAATATTCATAAAAATATGTGTTTCTTGTACATATATAGAAGTCCATTCACTACTCTATTGTATCAAAGGATCTATATTGTTGCAAGCTTTGGGAAGCGAGAAATAAAACTAACCCAACTGCAGCTGTTGTTGGCTTAAATCCATATTCAGGCTGGCTGCTGCTACAAATCCAATTGAATATAATCCCAAAAGAGCCGAAAGGATATCCATATTTTGAATCGCGAACTTCACGAGCTTTCACTATATTTTCTACGTTTTTTTTCGAGCTATGCGTTTTCACGGCCAGTCGCTGGGCCTTCGCACTGACAACTATTTCGCGACAAGTTCGCGGACGTACGTCGTACGCTTCTGGCTAATAGATATTACTAAGTTATTATATTAATAGTGAGGCGCTTTTAATACTTGTACAGGCAATTTCGCCAGTTGTTATCTAGAGAGCACATAAATCGCCACTGTAGGCAGGCTCTAAGTTGGGGCTTTTCTGCCACTTGCCGGGGCGATGGGGCTAATTTTTGTTATCTGGGCCAGAACTGAATGCGAATTGTTTGCCCATGTCTGAATTTTGATTAAGTGGCCAACGCCACTGTCAGCCGGTGTCAGTGTTTAAACTTTCTGCTTTTTATTTATAAGTAACAGATATTTATGTCGTATTTCATTTTTGTTTTTGTTTTTGTTTTGGCATTCTTTCTTTTTAATGGGCGTACAATTGTTGCCTTATAATTGATGATGGGCCGTTTGTCAGCCTTTATTGAGCGCCAGTTTATTTTTGGCAAACATTTTTCGCGATTGTTTAGCAATTCGATTAAAGCCCAAGAACTAAATTTAGTCCCTGTGATTGGGTTTTTTTTGACAGTTTTGTATTTCCAGGAAAGTTCGAGTGTTTTTGTATTTTGTGAGAAGAACGAACTGTGGAAAATATTAAATATATGGAAAAGCTGCCTAGGTATTAATTGCCTTTCCAATCATTTTTGTTTCAAAATAGTTATATATACATATATTTGAAAAAAACTGAAGTCTCTATTCATTTAAAAAATAAAATTTATTAAGCATAATACAAAATAAATAATTTCAGAGAATTTAAACTACATTTTTGATACAAATATTTTCAAATAAATAAAATTTCTGTTGTTCCTAAGAGGTTTCTTTTGGCACTGGCAAAGAACTAAAACTCCGCCCAGGGCCTACCCTGCTTCCCAACTAAGGCAGTGTTTCGCCGACAGTCAAATATATTTAGAAACTTTTCGACATGTGCCACGGTAGCTACAGCTCGTAGATCAGTGGAAAATCAAGCACTAACTGCGAAGTTTCGGTGGCAAATGCGTTCGTATATAAGTAGAAATAACACATCACGTTTGCGTCTATTTGTCTAACAAAAACAATTACTTTTGCGTCGAGATGCGTCAAAGACTAAGCACTCAAAACTTAACCTGTTTTGCACTGAAACTGGGCGTGAAAATGACGCTGATTAGATTAGACATATTTTTAGCTCACGGTCAGAAGGCAGCATTTGGTGTGCTTCCTCTTAAATCCGTTGAAGTTCCTCAAAAATGCAAATGCTGCCCAACTATTTAGGCACCTTTGACGAAGTATTTAGGTATTCTTTTGTTTGGTTTTTTTTTTTTTTTTTTTGGGCAGGATTCGCGCGAGCGCATTTAATTTAAGCCATCAGGAACATGAAAGCAGCTCGCCCAACTAAGCCGATTTAAAAGCGCATTTGAATTCAAATGCCGTAAAATGAAATAAAAACTAAAAACTAAAAACCATCACAATTCCCACCGATGTCGAGCCAAAATGGCACAAAAACTGTCTGCAAAGTTTGCGCTTGAAGTTTTTAGTTTTTCGGGCAATGCAAAAATTATAATCCCTTAAATGGCAATCGGGTAGGCCAAGCCATATCCCTTTACCGTCTAGTTAAGCAAATGTTGTCTATCCATTAAGCGTGTGGGAATTGTAAAATGTTTTCTAATTATGCTCTATGCCTTGTCTCAAGGGATGTGTAAAATGCTCTTTGAGAAACAAGGTAAAATCGGTTAGCTTGAAGTCTGATTTTGTAGGTCTATATGATGGGCTTTATCATTGTTTTCTAAGTGATAGAGCGAAAGAAATTGGACCGAGATACTCTTAGTAATTCTTAGCGTAATAAATAGTAATATGTCTGATTAATATTATTTCTTCAGCTTAATGAAAACGAGTTTTAAGAATTATTGACCTATTTCTTGTTCCAGAGATTCCATTCTCAAATGATAAAACTCCATTCTGACAGAATAAAAGATATAGACATAATTGATTTGTAAATAGTTTCATTAGTATCATTTGTATTAGAAATTATCTAATGTTAACTTTATATCAAACCTGGCCTACACTAAATTCATACACTATTCGAGAACCTTATCCCGAACACTCATTATTTTGTTGCATGATGGACTAATCAGACTAATCAGCCTAAATCAGTTTCGGAGAGAGGGCACTTTTCACATTATGTTCGATATAATTCACAACTAGTTAAATCGCTGCTTTGGTGTAGTTTCAGCTCCAAGACCTACTTCTGTGATTGATTAGGAGGCTTACTGGGATCTACCACCCGGGTCTAAGCTGTTATCAACTCGAGCTGCAATTTTTTTGAGAAGCTTGTGACAGGGTATGCCATAGACTTGTCTATGCTTGCATTTTCCTCTTTGCATTGCCTTAAAAAGCGATGCAGTGAGTAATGACAGCTGGAAAAATGGTTATAGGAAGCCGCACCAATTAAGCCTGTCCAGACGTGCAGCAGACGCAAGTTCAAGGCAGAGACGTTGACAGAGGCTCATAAATCACTCACTTAGCTGGCCGGCTGGCTGGCTGGCTGGCTGTCAGGACCTGTGTCCTTTGTCCTGGCATTCCGTTTGCAGCTTTTTGTGTGAGTGTGTGTGTGTGTGTGTGTGTGTGTGTGTGTGTTGGCGTGTTTGTCATGCATTTGCACTATTGCTCACTCATTTATTACTCCTTATGGCTTTGGCTTTTTCAACGCGTTTTTGATTAAGGATACTTTTTTATACTATTTACATTTTTGTTTTGTTTTTATCATTGCCAAAGCGGAAGCTGCATTCGCCATTTTCCATTTTCCCCACTTGATATTTGGTTGTTTTCTTTGGTTTTCTGTGATCCTGGTGTGTTCCATTATTATTGTTTCCTTTGATTTATACTCGGTTTCAAGTGATTTCCGCCAGCATTCAACACTTTATGTTTGCTTTTCGGTTTTGGCCAGCGACATTTTAACCAAAACTCTTAAGTGCGAGCATTTGTCATTTGACTTTTGCCGGGGTCTTTTTTATTGCTGCTGGTGCTACCGCGGTTTCGGTTTCGTTTACGGATATTTGTGTTGCTTTTGGCCGTGGCTGTGGCTGTTGCTGTGGCTGTGGCTTTGGCTATGGCTTTGGCTTTGCCTTTGATTTGCGGTGCTTAATCGTTGGCGTCGTCTGCGGTTCGCTCTTTTGGTTTCTGTATGCAGATTCGTAAATGCTTTCGCCCGTGCAGCTCATAAATTCTTTGCAGCTTTTATTTTTCGCTGCTTTATTTTTTTTAAGGGGAGTTCTGCGCGTAATTGAAAGCAGCGGGGTGGCTACTGTGGCTTACTGGGCAGCACCACCATTTGAAGCTCACCGAATTTATGGCAGTTCAATGTGCAGCTACGGCCCGAAAATACCATATAACCATCGCCTGCCAGCGAGCTATTGATTAAAGTGTTCGCTGGTGGCTTACCCAAGCCGTGGCCTGGGGCTACAGTGAATGCCTTGTAATCTGTCAAAATTAGCAGACTTCTGCAGCAAACGGAAGTGCGGGCAAAAAACTCCAAACTTAAACAGGTTATTTAATGCTACACTTTCGGTCCAATCTAAAGGGCTAAAACTTGAGTTCATTGTCCTCAATCGCATTGCGGGCGTGGTCTTTGACTTTGAACTTACTTTTTTCTTTCATTTTCTTGTGCCAACTTGCTGCAATTTGTTGTTTCAATTTGATTGTACGCACGACTTTTACATATACCCTGTAAAAAAAGAGGCTGTCAAGTGGGTTACCTACACCATAAGTGATATGTATATATAGCTAGATATATAGCTATGTCTGTCTAGCACAGATTATATATTATATATTGTAAATTTGATTTCTTAGTTTTTTAAATCATGTTCGGGCCCTGTTAGAGGGTAACTCCAAGTCGGCCAGTGTTAATCTGTTTTGTATGGTCTCTCTGGGATTTTCAGATATACCAATGTGAGCCAAGTAAGCCAAAGACGATTGAATTGATGCATGGAAAGCGCACAACGATTGGGGTAATTATGTATGTATGTGTAAGTATGCAGTGTAATATCATCGTATCATAATCTTCAGCTTGAATGACGACTGTGTGTATGGGCACTTTGTGAAATTGAAAGTTTTCCCGCTCACCATAATGGACTTTCACATGACGCAGACAAATTATAAAGGCGCGACGATGCCGTTGACATTATCTGCGAGTTGTCAGTAGAGTTGTACACAGCTCACAGCTCAGCTGTAATTGATCATGGGAGCTCTTGGCTCAAATATTTGCGCCGAAGACAAACAGAAATTGAAACCGGGCCCATTTAATGCAGAATATCACATCGAATATATCTCTAAGCTGCACAAACAAACAGCAGACGGGCCAAATAAAAAATAAAATACAAAATTCGTATTAAGCAATCAATAATCATTGTAAATACGCCAATGTGACGCCACCGGCGATAAGCTAGAAATATTAACGCATAACCAGGCGAGAAGCAGTCAAAAAGGCCAAGCCTGGGTCTGGGTCTGGGCCTGGGCCTGGGCCTGGGCATGGACATGGACATGGGCCTGGCATCGGGTCTGTTGTTGTGCCTGGCGCGACGTAGATAAACAATAGAAAAGCATAGAGAACGGGTCAGCATTGAGAGCTAAATGCTTGCGGCTGCCTTCAGTTTTGGCCTGGCTCAGACTCAGACTCTGACTCTGGCTTTGGCTGGGCAACGATACAAAGTAAGCGAGCGCATTGAATGCAAAAATACCAAAAAAACAAAAACAAAAACCCCCGATGCTGGACACTCAATGATGATGATGATGAGCATAGCAAATACAAATTATGGTTGAAAAGCGCAACGTAAATACTGCAATCATTTTAATAGACCAAAAACGGCGGCGCATAAACCATAAACCAAACGCCAGGCCCCCCCTCGATACAAGCCAAGGTTCTATGAGAAATTGGAGGCGTTCATGCGAAGACTGCCAAAGTGCAAGACTGCGGTCTAAGAGCCCAAAAAAAAAAAAAAGAAAACAGTTCCGAAGAGTTGGCCGATGCGAAGCGAGTTGCATTCACAACATTGGCAACAACGGCACGCGAACAGCGAAAATTGCAGTCGATGATGCGGTTTTATTACACAAGTTTAGCTCTGAAATTAGCGTAGATAAATTTCTAGCTGGAATTCCTTTCCCTGTGTGCTGGACGCTGACCAATGCTCGATTGTGGGCCGGGCGCAAACGGCACGCAAACTTTCCAGCCTCTTTTCAGCCATTTGGGCATACCAATGCGTTTCGGGCTTTAGTGGCGTCTTCTGATCCACAATCATGGCAAATTATATTGAAAATTCTCTAATTCTGTTTGCTGCTACTCAAATGCCGGGCATCAATGGGCATCAACTAAAAGCAGAAATTTTTGATTCGGGCTGATTCTCCCCCTTTTTTTTCCACACAGACAGACAGCCAGCAGCACACTTAAGACAATTAGACATCTTCAGGCATCAGCTACTTAGCAATGCCTCGCAAGCAGCCCATGATATAAAGCAGATGCTAATGCTACACAGTACGTACTCAACTCCCCCGCCAACCCTTCCCCTGGGTTAGCCCTGGTGGCTGCTGCT